AACAGCAATGAGTTGAGGGAAGTTATTTTAAATCTTTCCTGGGTGGGAAATACCAAAGGTACCTTCAGGCCTGCAAAGATGCCAGATGCGAGTCCCAAAATCTCCCTTCCCAACGTGCTTCACCAGAAGATGGATGAGGTCTCCTACTCCCAACCACCTCCCAAACACCCATCATTTTTGCTGAAGTCATGGATGAAGCTGGAGCCTGGAGCACCACCTGTGCCTGGATCCTTGTGCTCCACACTGCTCCTCGAGGATTCCCGGGCAAAGGAAAGCCAGGAGCGGAAAGCAACCCTGAATCCCTGAGGCACTTCAGGGTGTGCCAGCAGGAGGAGAGGAAAAGGAAAGCCTGTGAAGATCACAGCATTAATCATCTGGGGGACGAGAGGCTCAGCAGGCCCTTCCTCCCCTGCTGACGTCTGTGGAGCTGCAGGAAAGCAGGTTGGAGAGGAAAATGAGCCAAAAGGTGACTTCTTGAGAAACTCTGGGTCAGCTCCCGCTTGCAGCAAAGCCGAGGCTTTTTCATCTGAATTCCCAACAAACCCAAGGTTTCCTGGAGCTCCCACTGAGTCCTGGCAGAGCGGGTGCATTGGGCTCACAGGCAGCTGCTGGAAACTTCTCACTTCCAGAAGGAAACCTGGACTGGATGGCCAGAAATGTGGGCCTGAGATCCCAGAATTTCATTCCATCTAAAAGCTATTTGTAATGGAAGTGGAGTTATGGTGATGGAGCCTGACCAGTTTCTCCAACTCAGAGGTCCAGCAGCCAGAGAACTTGGCAGCTCCTGCTGGGGCTTTTCCCTCGTTGGCTGCACTGACTGTGGTGAGCAGTGACTGCAGCAAGAAGATGGAAGGCACCGTCAGAGCAGAGCTCAGGAGGTGGGACTTCCCCACCAAACACCTTCTCTGCCAAAAATGTAGGGACTCAAAGGTGCTGGGGTAGCAGGGTGAGCATATCCTCAGAGCCGACTTAAAAAGAGAAAGTTGCCATCAAGTGTGGCCTCCTCATGAGCAAGCCCAACCAGATCCACCACCCTGGCAGGCTGGTGTGGTCAGGACACGAGGAATTATCTCCGTGTCCATCATAAACAGCTTTTAGATGGCATGAAATTTTTCCTGCAGGACATCTCCAGTCTGGAGCCCAAGGCAGGAGGGACCAGCCTTCATCCCTGCTTTACACCTCCAAGAGCTTTGCATCTGTCAAAGGAATGTGGCCCCAAATGCCTCCCTGACCTTGATCACAGATGCTCCTCTCTGTATCCAAGCATCCTGCTGGAGGCTGGGAACCTGGATCCCGGTGGGAATGTGCACTCCCCCCGGGGAACAGCAGGAGCAAAGGCCACATGCAATCAGTTGCTAATGCAGTTCCTGGCAATGAGCAGCTGGAAGAGCAGAAACCAGGAGGCCAAAGGCTCTCAGGAAGCCCAGTCCAGCCACCATGCCAGGCCTTCTTTGCCAAGGATTAATTCAGCCGGAGACTCCAAGAGGAATCCTTTCTGCAATGATTTTTCCCAACGAACATGTTGTATGGATAAAAAAAGGCATCAAAACAACGCTTTGCTTGCATTCTCTTTTTCAGCCCTGGGTGCTGCCCCTGAATTTGGCTCTCCTGTCCCTGACATTCGGGGGGGATTCCCGTTCATTCCAGGTGCTCCAGGGCTGGGTCCAGGTGCTGGGCTCAGCAGAGGCATTTGGGGCTGGCAGGCAGCCAGGAGCCACTCTTTTATTTTCCTTTCTTTAACACTCCCACCAATATTTACAGTGTCCCCACTGCTCACCTTGGGGACCGCCAAGGACACCCACGTGCCAGTAGGGAGGAGGCCACCAGCCCCTTTTCACCAGCTTGGAGCTCGTGGGAGGCGGCACTGGAGGTGGGATAAGTGGCTCATCAGAGGCTTGAGTTGTGTCCGTTCTCAGATGCGTTCCCTGGATGTTTGTGGAAAGTCCTGGGCTCCCCACCACAGGATGCTGGGCTTGTTTGCACAAGGCATGTTTTCTGGGGAAAGACACTTTTCCCCCCTGTTTCCTTCTCCCCGTGGAGGCTGAGGGAGCAGGGAATTTCACCAGGGCACCGAGCCATCGCCAACCCAACCCCACAAGTCTGGGCAGCCCCAGGATGCGGGTGATGGCTCCAGCATGGCTGTGGTTGCAAATATTCCTGGCAGCTCCTGCCAGAGCCCATCTCCCCCTGGCCCCGGTGTCCGGCTTGGCCGTGGGTTCGTGCCAGGATCGATGAAAGCCCACGTTGTCCATTGCAGCGCAGGCGCCAACGGGATCCAGACACCTCATTCCACCTCCCCGTCCCATCCCAAAACCCCTCGGCTCATATCTGGGTCCTGCTCTGGTGGTGCAATGAGGTGACACCTCATTGGTGTCCCCACACATGATGGTCCATCACCCAGGAGATGCTGTTCAGCACCTCCTTCCCTTCCACATCTACCAAGACCCATCACAAGCCCTAAAATGGAGAGCAGGTAATAATCTGTGAGGGTGACACGGCCTTCCAGGGAAAGGAAGGGCCAAGCCCGTCATCCCACATATTCCCGGCATCCCTGGGCTGTTTGTACATCTGCCCTTTCATTCCCAACACGTCCCCCCGGGGTTCCTTGCCTTATTGCTCCTTAATGGCCCTGCGTTTCCTGGTTAATGAGTGCCCGAGCCATCGACCTCTCTGCTCTGGAGCCGGTGCCGCAGGGAGACCCTGTTCCCAGGGCTCCAGCAGCTCCAAGCCTCCAGCCAGGACAATCCAGCTGTCGGCCGGAGCACCCCGCGCCCGTAGATCCCACTTTTGGGGTTGTTGGAAGCCTCCCCAAACACCCTCCTTCACACAGATGTTCGCCCACGATGCCCAGCCGGGTGTTTGCCCCCCATGCAGCTGTCGGGACCCCAGCCCAGCTGTTCTTCTTCCCCCCCGCCCCAATCCAGCTGTGCCCCTTCCCCAGCCCCCTGCGGGGCCGTCCCGCAGGTGCGGGGCCGGAGCGGGGCGGAGCGGGGCGGCCCCGGGGCGGAGCGGGGCCGGCGGCGGCGGCGGGGCGGCCCCGAGCGAGGAGCGCCGCTGGATCCCCGCGCATCCCGCTCCGGTAAGTGCCGGGAACGGGGCAACGGGATCAACAGAACCGGGCAGGATGGGCACCCAGCTGGGTCAGGGTGAACCGGACAGGATGGGGATGGACCGGACAGGATGGGGATGGATCGGACAGGATGGGACCCCTACAGGGTCAGACCCAACCGGACAGGATGGGACCCAGCTGGGTCTGAGTGAACTGGGCAGATGGGGACGGACAGGGCAGGATAGGACCAGACAGGGCAGGATAGGACCGGACAGGGCAGGATGGAACCCTGAAGGGTCAGGGTGAACCCGTTGCCCCGCGCATCCTGCTGCCGGTAAGTGCCGCCTACGGGGGGATCAATAGAACCGGGGCAGGATGGGACCCTAAAAGATTGAGTGAACCGGGCAGGATGGGGCTGGACCGGGCAGGATGGGACCTTAAAGGATTGAGTGAACCGGGCAGGATGGGACCTTAAAGGATTAAAGCGAACCGGGCGGGATGGGGCTGGACCAGGCAGGATGAGACCCTAAAGGATTGAGTGAACTGGGCAGGATGGGGCTGGACTAGGCAGGATGGGACCCTAAAGGATTAAAGTGAACCGGGCGGGATGGGACCGGATCGGGCAGGATGGGACCCTAAAGGATTAGAGTGAACCGGGCGGGATGGGGCTGGACCGGGCTGGATGGGACCCTAAAAGATTAGAGTGAAGCCGCTGCCCCCCAGCGCATCCCGCTGCCGGTAAGTGCCGCATATGGGGTGGGGAGACGGGACAAGCCGAACCGGGACAGGATGGGACCGACGTGGGTCAGAGTGAATCGGGCAGTATGGGGCTGGACAGGGCAGGATGGGACCCAACAGGGTCCGAGTGAACCGGGCAGGATGGGGCTGGACCGGGCAGGATGGGACCCTAAAGAGTGCTAGAGTGAACCCGCTGCCACTCAGCACATCCTGCTGCCAATAAGTGCCAGGAACAGGGGGAATGGGATCAACAGAACCGGGGCAGGATAGGACCCAACTGGCTCAGAGTGAACTGAGCAGGATGGGGCTGGACAGGACAGGATGGGACCCTACAGAGTGTCAGAGTGAACCCGCTGCCAACCGGCACATCCCGCTGCCGGTAAATGATGCACACCAGGGGGACAGGACAACCCGAACCGGGACAGGATGGGACCCAACTGGTTCAGAGTGAACTGGGCAGGATGGGGCTGGACAGGACAGGATGGGACCCAACTGGTTCAGAGTGAACTGGGCAGGATGGGGCCGGACAAGGCAAGATGGGACCCAACTGTTTCAGAGTGAACTGGGCAGGATGGGGCTGGACAGGACAGGATGAGATCCAAAAGGTTCAGACCAGACTGGGCAGGATGGGTACAAACTGGACAGGATCAGGCCCAGAGGTGTCAGACAGAACTGGGTCAGGATGAGACCCAAGAATCAGGGCTGGATCTGGCGGGATGAGATCGGGCTGGGCAGGATCAGACCTGAGGGAGTGAGACTGAACCAGTCAGGATGGGACCCAATAGGGCCAAACCAAACTGGACAGGATGGGGCCAGGTAGCCTGGCCTCTGCCTTCATATATATATATATATTTGCGCATATATACATCCAGAGATATAAATATATTGTATATATGAGCACGTCTGCACAGATGTGTGTATAGAAGCATAAATGTATTTGTATATATGTGGATGGAGATCTGTATATACAGGAGGGTGAGTCCCTGTGCTCAGAGACACATATTTGTGTATAGAGGGGTGGAAGTTTGTATATATGTGCGTGTGACTGGAGACACATATATTTATATGTATGTACAGAGAAATCCAAGTGTGTGAGGAGCCATATATATGGTTGTCTATGTAGACAGATAAATGTAGAGAGGAGAGGGATGTGTATTTACGTATAGGGGTGTATATATTATTTATATAGAAAGGTGTATGTGCTTGTGTAAGTGTTTATGCACATGTGGGTGCATAAATATATGAGCCTTTATGTATATTATGTATGTGTGGGTTTAGACAAACCCAGCCCTGCCAGCTGAGCCCAGGCCAACTTCTTGCACCTTCCCAGTTCCCAGCAGTTCCCATTTCCAGCAGGGAAATGCTGCCCAGTTGCTCAGAGTTGCTCAGAACAACTGGGCTGGTGATTTGTGAGATGGGGCACTAAAGCCTGGAGAGGCAGAGGGGGTTACCCAAGGACAGGGTACATTGGTGGCAGAGGCACCAGTGTGACCATCCTCGTGTCCCATTCCCGACAGTCCATGTTTAGTACCCCAAAATTCCCAATTTGTCCGCATCATTACACCTCCAGGCTTCCCTAATTGGAGATTTCCCTTAAAACAGCCCAGCCTTGGTCCCCACCAAGGAGTCCTGGGGCAGAGGGGGTATATCCTTGGCCACCTTGGGATCAGCCAGGCAATGTTTGGGGACAAGGGTGTGGTGGCTTTGGCCAAGGGAACACACAGAGGTGGAGCATCCCCCCTTCATCCTCGGAAATCTGCTGAGCCGGAGCTTTCGCTTCCCTCCAGCCCAGCTTTGTCCAGCCCTGCCAGGGAGCCACAAACCACCACCCCCCACCCCCCCCCCAGTGAGCAGGACAAACCAAAGAGGAAGGTTTCCAAGGCAGGAAAGCCCCTTCCCTTATCCTATTTGAGGACAGCAGCTGCCAGGATATTTTCCCTCTGTATCCAGCTAGCAGAAGCCCCTTCCTATTAACACAGGGTGTTAATTAGAGCTAATTCCATGGGAGAAGGGCTGGTATGAGATGGTAGGAGGGGGACAAAGTCAGGGGAAGCTCGAGGCTGCTGGGGAGCAGCAACAAGGATTATTTTTAATCTCTTCCCCATCTGGCCACAGAACAGTCCCACTTCTCTTTCCCAACCCTTGTTCCTCCCCCACAGACACCTTAAATCCCTGGGATAAGGGTGATCCCATCCTCCAGAGCACCCCAACACCACGGGCACCCCTTTTCCCCCCTAAAAGTCTCATTTCCCACTGGATTTTGCCATCACTGTTGCCTCAGGGCACCAGGACCGCAATCCTATGGATTTGGGAGGCACCAACCACCTCTCCCCAGGGGCTGGCAAGGATATCTCTGAGGGTTTCTCGAGGTGAGAAAAGGGATTTTTGGGATAATCCACCCGGCCTGATGATGAGCTGTGTCCACATGTAGGAGTGTCCATGGGGGGGGGGGGGTGTAGGGGGCCATGTGATGCCCACAGCGCCATTCCATGCAGCCCAGTGCCCACCCTGCTGTGCCATGGTGCTCTTCCATGTGGCACACCGCCCGCTATGCCATGCCATGTCATGCAGTGCCCACGGTGCCATTCCATGCATCCCAGTGCCATGCCATGCCCATGGTGCTCTTCCATGCAGGGCAATTCCCACCCTGCCTTGCAGTGCCATGTGACGCCCACAGTGGAAATCCATGTGGCACAGTGCCTGCCTTCCCGTGCCATGCAGTGAGATGCCCGTGGTGCTGTTCCATGCAGGGTAGTGCCCGTCCTGCTGTGCCAGGTGATGCCCACAGCGCAGATCCATGTGGCACAGCACCCACCCTACCATGTCATGCCATGCCTATGGTGCCATTCCACGCAGCCCAGTGCCCACCCTGCCGTGCCATGTGATGCCCATGGTGCTGTTCCATGCAGGGCAATTCCCACCCTGCCATGCCATGCCATGCAGTGCAGTGCTGTGTGGAGCCCAGGGTGCTGTGCCACGGAGTGCCCACGCTGCCACCCCGGTTCCGTTTCCGTTTCCCCGCAGAATTGCTGTTGGCTGGAAAGGGGAAGCGCTCCTTGCTCCGCAGGGCGAGCGCAGCACCCCAGGGGCACAGACCTGCCCTGTGCCAGGCAGGGCAGCAGGTCCCAGCACCTCGTGGTGCCCACTGGCACCCTGTGGCACCCTGGCAGGTAGGATGCTCCCCCAGGTGCCCCAAAGACCCCTTTGCCGGCCACCTTGTCCCCATGTCCTCGGGGGTGGAGCACACAGGCTGGCAGAGGCTCCTGTGGGTGCTGGGTGGGTGCTGCCCCAACCTGGGGTCCTGAGGAAGGTTTGGGGAGTCCTGGGGGAGGTTTATGGGACTCAGGGGATAGGGAATGCCACAGCCCCGCAGCGCTTATTGGCTTGAAGGTGGCAGAGGTGGGTGCTGGGACTGCCCAGAGCTGGGGTGACAATGGGGTGGCAGAGGGGCTCGGTGGGGCACAGTGGGGTTCTGGGGGCTCAGTGGGGTGCCAGAGAGAGTCAGTGGGATGTCAGGGCGCTCAGTAAAGTGCGAGGGGCTCAATGGGCATGCAGGGGCACACAGTGTGGTACCGCGGACAGGAGGCATGTGCGGCATCCACAGGCCCAGAGCACCCCCAGAACTGTGTCCCCAACGCTGTCCCCACGCCTGCCCCCGCGGCCGGGCTGTGCCGGGCTCCTGGCGGGTGGCATGTCCCGGGATGGGCGGGATGGGCGACGGGCTGTGGGGCTTTGGCACCCCCTGCAGAGGAGCAGGAAGCCGTGCCGGTCTGAACGGCACCTCCTGCCGCAATTTCCTCTCCTGGAGTGGGGTGAGGGGAGCGTTGGCCTTGTGCAAACCTTCCTAAGGGGTGTAAGTGCCACGGGGAGCCGAGCTGAGATGGTGGTGACTGTGGTCACCTCACTGTCCTGTCTGTCACCGGCTCGTGTGTCCCACTCTCTCTCCCTTCACCTTCCTGTTAGACCCCTAAATCCACTCTCGTGGCTTAGAACCATGGAATCACAGCATGGTTTGGGTTGGAAGGGACATTATAGACCATCTTGTTCCATCCCCTGCCATGGGCAGGGACACCTTCCACTAGCCCAGGTTGCTCCAAGCCCTGTCCAACCTGGCCTTGGGCACTCCCAGGGACCCAGGGGCAGCCACAGCTTCTCTGGGCAACCTGTGCCAGGGCCTCACCACCCTCACAGCCAGGAATTCCTTCCCAATATCCCATCTCTCCCTGCTCTCTGGCAGTGGGAAGCCATTCCCTGTGTCCTGTCCCTCCATCCCTTATCCCCAGTCCCTCTCCAGCTCTCCTGGAACCCCTTTAGGCCCTGCAAGGGGCTCTCAGCTCTCCCTGGAGCCTTCTCTTCTCCAGGGAAACCCCCCCAGCTCTCCCAGCCTGGCTCCAGAGTAGAGGGGCTCCAGCCCTGGCAGCATCTCCGGGGCCTCCTCTGGACTCTCTCTAGCAGCTCCACGTCCTTGTGCTGTTGTTCCCAGAGCTGGAGCAGCTCTGCAGGGGGGTCTCACCTGAGGGGCAGAGGGGCAGAATCCCTCCCTTTCCCTGCTGGATCAGCCCAGGGCATGGGAGGTTTCTGGATGCCAGAGCACATGGACAGAGCATGTCCAGCTTCTCCTCCCCCAGCACCCCCAAATCCTCCTCAGGGCTGCTCCCCATCCCTTCATCCCCCAGCCTGGGTGGATACTGGGAGTTGCTCCATCCCACGGAGTCACACACACGGGTGCAGGTTCATCCTGGTGGATGTGACACCACACAGGCGAGTCCCCAGCTGTCCCCTTTGTCACTCCCAGGTGCCGCTGAGGGGCCGCACCAGCAGAGAGGACACTGACGGGGTGGCGCCGCCACCATGGCCAACCTGACGGCCCTGGTGGGCGCCGGGAGGAACTCGTGCACCTTCCACGAGGAGTTCAAACAGGTGCTGCTGCCCCTGGTGTACTCGGTGGTGTTCGTGGTGGGGCTGCCCCTCAACGCCGTGGTCATCGGGCAGATCTGGGTGGCGCGGAAGGCGCTGAGCCGCTCCATGATCTACATGCTCAACCTGGCCGTGGCAGACCTGCTCTACGTCTGCTCCCTGCCCCTCCTCATCTACAACTACACCCAGAAGGACTATTGGCCTTTCGGGGACTTCACCTGCAAGTTCGTCCGCTTCCAGTTCTACTCCAACCTCCACGGCAGCATCTTCTTCCTCACCTGCATCAGCGTCCAGCGCTACCTGGGCATCTGCCACCCCCTGGCCTCGTGGCACAAGCGCAAGGGGAAGAAGCTGACGTGGCTGGTGTGTGCCGGGGTGTGGTTCATCGTCGTCGCCCAGTGCCTGCCCACCTTCGTCTTCGCCTCCACGGGCACGCAGCGGAACCGCACGGTGTGCTACGACCTGAGCCCCCCCGACCGCTCGGCCGCCTACTTCCCCTACGGCATCACCCTCACCGTCACCGGCTTCCTGCTGCCCTTCGCCGCCATCCTGGGCTGCTACTGCAGCATGGCCCGCATCCTGTGCCAGAAGGACGAGCTCGTCGGCCTGGCCGTGCACAAGAGGAAGGACAAGGCCGTGCGCATGGTCATCATCGTGGTCATCGTCTTCTCCATCAGCTTCCTGCCCTTCCACCTCACCAAGACCATCTACCTGATGGTCCGCTCCTCCGACGGCGTGCCCTGCCCGGCCCTGCAGGCCTTTGCCATCGCCTACAAGTGCACCAGGCCCTTCGCCAGCATGAACAGCGTCCTGGACCCCATCCTCTTCTACTTCACCCAGCGCAAGTTCCGCGAGAGCACCCGCTACCTCCTGGACAAGGTGAGCTCCAAGTGGCGCCACGACCACTGCGTCACCTACGGCTCGTAGGGGAGGACAGGGCCACCTCAGTGGCACTATTTTGACTTTCGGCTCCATGGCTTCAGCTGGGGACGTGCTGGAGGACAGGAGGACGGCGTCTCCCAAGCTTCCAGCACTTTGATCCCATCTCCAGCCCGCAGCGGCGCAGTATTAACCCACCACAGTGTACTCTCCCTGGCTTGGTTGCTCAGTTGGAGCAGCTCAGCACCACATTTGGTGGCCAAGCCACCAATGAAACAAAAATCCACTGGATAGCATGGTGGGACCACACTGGACACAGACCCTGGCTCAGGATGAGCTGCTGGGGGACAACTTCTCCCCCTACTCAAAGAGAAATTCCCTGGTGGGGAGGTGAAAAGGAGACACCCTCTCCCAGGCTGGGGAGGGTTTAGCTCAACTCATTACCTGTCTGGGAGACATGGGCCTGTGTGTTTCTCCAGCTCAAGATCAGTGTTGTGGATGTTTCCTGGACATCCCCAAGCCCCAGTTCCCGGAATGGGGCCGCACCAGGAAGAGATAGGGACCCACTGGTACCATTGGTGCTGCCAAATGGTGGCAGAACATCCCTGGCCAGACTGGGAACTGGGAAAGGGTAACTGGGACACTCAGGCTGGGTTTTCCACCCAAACCATGACCATGGACTGGGTCAGACACAAGCCAGCAGCTTTGTCACCTGCCGGGGGACCTTCAGCATCATCTGAGTCCAGCTCCCTGCTTAGCCCAGCACCCCAAACCTGGCCCATCCTGGTGTCTGTGGTGCCCTGCTGTCACCTCCTAACCAGGACCCACCAAAATCAGAGCCAGCACACCTGGACACAATGTCTGGAGTTGGGAACCCCATGTCACCGAGCTCCTCAGTGTCCTCAGCCATGTCACTGCACGTCCCACTGTTGGTGTGGCCTCTCCCCTGCTCCCACACTGGACTGGGGATTGAGCTTTGCTCCCACAGCCTCTGGATGCTGCTCCCTCCCAGCGAGGAGGGATTGGTGAGGTGACACCCTGCTAATCGCTCTGCCAGTCTCCTTTAACATGTAGGATGTATAGAAGAAGGCTCCCCCTCTCCTCACTGCCTGCACACCCACTGTATGTACATACAGAGAATATATGTGAGCAGGGCGAGGGCTGGGCCCAGCACAGGCTCCACCTGAGCACAGCATATGGATCTATAAGTGTATGTGTGTATATAGAGTATAAATACAGATATATATAGAGAGAACTGCGTTTTTCACTGGTTGTCATAATCACATCTGAGTCGATTTAAGCAATCTGCTTCAAATCTCCAGGGATGAACATCCCTCCAGCTTGGCTGCCTATACCTGACCAAGGGCACAACTCCAGCTTCGCTTGCTCCTTGCGGGTACCCAGTGTCCTCCTTGGGTACTTGGCCACCCAAGGACCTCCCCAGCATCCAGTGGGGGTGGTCCCAGTGTGTCTCCTTACTGTCACAAGGATAAGGAGGGTACCCAGAGTGGTCACGGGCTCTTGGACGACGGTCAAAGATCTCAGCATCGCTTGGGCTGGGATGGAGGGGGATCCTGTGCCGCTGTTGGCTCAAACCACCCGGTTTTGTGGGAGCGGTGGCCGTGTCCCGATGGGGAGGACAACGACTTTGGGTTGGGGCACGGGATGCGATGGAGGAAGCAAATGCAGCTCCGTGCTGCCAAAATCCCCTCCGATGCATTTTTGGGGTCTTGCAGTACAAAGGCAAAACGCCTGGGGGCTGCGAGAGCGGCGGGGGTGGGACAACCCCGGCCTGGTGTTCCCAGACAAAAGGGAGGGGACAGGGTGGGAGGTGCCCGGCCACGCCACCCGGACCCAGGAGAGGGCGCAAAATATTTAGATTTGGAGAAACACAGTCGGGGCTGTAGGTTCCCAACCGGGTCTGTGGGCACCCACCCGGCATCAGGGAGGGAGGGAAGAAGGAGCCCTGCTCCATCACAGCGCCCCGTGCCTGGATTGCACCCGTGGGATGAGGTGGGAGGACTAAATTTAACCACAATACAGCTCTGAGGGGGAAAAAATGAAGCAGCTTCCAAAAAGTCTGGTGGTGGCTGCAGAGAAGTGGTGGTGGCTGCAGGGACTGCGTGGGCTCAGGCCAGGACATTCAGTGGCTTCAGGATGAGGGTCCTGATATTGGAATCACAATTTTGGGTGCTTTTAAGGATTACTTTGGGTCCAACCACATCCTGCCTGCCCTTGGGATCCTGACAGCAGTTCTCTTGGAACCAGCAGGCCTAGGAACCAGGGTGATGGGATGATGTCTCAGAGATGAGGGAGGTGCTTCAAATCATCTCCTTTCCTTCTGAGATGCTCAAAATCATCTCCTTTCCTTCTGAGATGCTCAAAAGCAGCTCTGAGGAACAGCTCCTACAGCACCCAGAGGGGATGAAATATGTGGCTCTGCCCAAAATCCCATCCTGAATGCCAAAAGGGGGGAGATATCATAGGGACATCATCCTTACAGCCAGGAGACACCCAGCCCTGGGAGAACAGGGAAGGAGAGCGGAGGTTGGAAAGGGAAAGCCAGGGAAGGAATATTTGCATCTCATGGCATCGCTGGAGGCACTTTGTAGGTCCTGAAAAATGCATTTACAGGGGATATTGGATTTTTTTTTAATCACCAGCAGGTTTTTTGTGACCCTGAGACAGAGCCAGCAACATCCTTTGCACATTCAGGACACTTCTCCAGCCCCATCCAGGCTGCCAGGGCCACAGCTCACCCCCCAGTCATCCCAGCCACCTTCAATTTTCACCTCCCCAGCACTAAATCTGCTGTCTTGGGGGAAAAAAGGGTTATAGGCTGCAAATAGCAAGTGCTGACAAGCGATGCTGAAAACCCACGAGGAAATCTGTTCACGGGGCAGTGCTTTGCTGGGAGCTTTGCACGTTGGGAACAAGGTGTTCTGCCTTCCCCAGGACGAGCTGCAAAGCAGGGGCTGGAGAAATCCGCTGCAATGGGAAGAATCTCTCCCTGGCACCCACATTTTGGTTTAATTTTCCTGCTTCCCTGTAAAAATAAAAAGCTGATAAGAGATGGAGGGAATCATGGATGGTTTGGATTGGGAGGGACATTAAAGATCATTTCATTCCAAACCCCCTGCTGTGGGCAGGAACACATTCCACTATTCCAGGTTGCTCCAACCTGGCCTTGGACACTTCCAGGGATGGGGCAGCCACAGCTCTGGGCAACCTGTGCCAGGGCCTCCCCACCCTCCCAGGGAAGAATTCCTTCCCAACATCCAATTTAAAATCTCCCCTATTTTACTTTCAAGCCTCTTGTCTTATCACTGTATGCCCGTGTAAAAAGTTGCTTCCTTTTATATAAGGGAAGGGGATGAAGGATGCTGGGGAGGGTGGGAATGAAGGATGAAGGGGGGGGATGAAGAATGCGGGGAGGGGGGAATGACGCGGGAGGGGTTGAAAGATGCGGGAGGGGGTGAAATATGGGAAGGAGGGGAAGGATGTGGTGCCGAGCCTGGGAGCGAGAGGGCAGCTCTGCGGCCCCCCATCCCACCGCCCCCTCCAAAAAAAAAAAAAAAAAAACCTAAAAAAAAAGAAAAATTAAATAAATAACCAACTAAAAGGGATCCAAACTTCAACGCTCCCCCTCAGCGGGAGCAAACCCCGCCTCCGGGGAGGAAAGTTTATTTGAATGCAACAAATAAACAAGCAGGGGGTGAGGGAGGAGGAAAAGCCAAAAAAAAAAAAAAAAAAAGGAAAAGGGGGGGGGGTGGGAGAGAGAGAGAGCGAGAGAAAACAAAGCGGGAGGGATGCAGCCCGCCGGCTGCCCGGAGGAGGAGCGGGGCCGGGCGGTGCCTGCGGCGGGGCCGGGGCCGGGGCCGGGGCGCGGCGGGGCCGGGGGGCGGGCGGAGGCGGCGGCGGCGGCGGGGGGGCACCGACAATGGCGGAGGGGGGCAGCGGCCGGGGGGTAGCGGCGGCTCGGTGCCTCCTGCCCGCCTCCTCCCCGCCTTCCTCCTCCTCCTCCTCCTCCTCCTCCTCCTTCTCCTCCTCCTTCTTCTTCCCGGGTAGGAAAGTTTCAGCGCCGAGCGCGGAGCAACAGCCGGGCCGGGCTTTTGGCAGCCTGGCCCCGTCGGTACGGCAGCTTTCGCTTCGCTTCGCCGAGCCCGAGCCCGCGGGCCCGGCCCATGCCGGGGCTCCGCCGCCGTGCCCGGCCGCCCCGCCGCCCCCGCCGCCGCCGCCGCCGCCGGGCCCGGCGCTGAGCGCGGAGCCGCCGCGCTGGCCCAGCGTCCCGGCGATGCGCAAACTCTTCGGGGAGAGCTGCCGGCAGCCGGCCGGGGGCACCGGGAGCGGCAGCGGGAGCGGCGCCGGGAGCGGGACGGGGAGCGGGATGGGGAGCGGCGGCGCGAGCGCCCGCGGGGCTCCCCCGCCGCCCCCGCCCCGCAGCCGCGTCCCGCACCCGGCGCTCCGCTCTCCCCGCGGAGCTCCGCCGGAGCCCGGCCCGCATTCCTGGCATAACTCGGCTCGACCGCAACCACCCTCCTCCTCCCCATCACCCCGCGCCAACGGGGAGGACGAAGCGGCGGCGGCCCGTTCTCCCCGCGCCTCGTCGGGCAGCGAGGGCGAGGGGCAGAGCGGTGCCCACCGGCCCCGCGCCGCTCGGAAGAAGAAGAAGGAGAGCGGTGCCTGGGAGAGCTCGGTGGATGGAGGTGATGCCGAGGCCGAAGGCTGCGCCAGGGTGGTCCCCCGGCACCCCCTGCCCGTGGTGGCCCGTGTCTCCAAGGTGAACATCCTGCCCTTCGCCAGCCCCGGCGGGTCGCGGAGCAGCAGTCGGTATTCCAGCACGGAGACGCTGAAGGAAGAGGAGCAGTTTGGGATGTGTTGGCCCAGCCAAGGGCGGACTCTCCAGGCGGGGTACGGGATCTATCGGTCGCCCAGTTTCGGGACCAGCGATGGCCTGGCTTGGGCACAGCCGGGGGTCCGCGCCCGCCCCAAGCTGCCCCAGGGCATGGCCAAGGCCAAACCGGACCGTGGGAGCGAGAGCCTACAGCAGCCAGGGCCGGAGGGGGAGCGGGCCGAGCACCGCAAGTCCTTGTCCAACCCCGACATTGCCACCGAGACCCTGACACTCCTCAGCTTCCTCAAATCAGACCTCTCAGAGCTGAAGGTGAAGAAGAAAGGGGTGAGGATCAGCCTGGACTCGGGCTCTGATGGATGCTCTGGCACCACCACCCCCTCCCCTGGCGGCTGCGGGGCCGCTCACCCCCCCAACCGCTGGGCACCGGGCGAGCGGCCAACGCTCAAGGACCTCACGGCCACTTTGCGCCGCGCCAAGTCCTTCACCTGCTCCGAAAAATCCGGGACGCGGCGGCTTTTCCTCCAGAGCGCCATGAAGCAGAGCTCCTCCGAGCTCCTCCTGGCCACCACTCACAGCCAGGACAGGGTGGCTCCGGATGGGGGGCAGCGGGGGGACGAGGAGGCTCTCCCCATGGTCATCCAGGATCAGTACATCCAGGAGGCGAGGCAGGTCTTCGAGAAGATCAGCAGGATGGGTTCCCAGCAGGATTACGGCTTTGCTGCCGAGCAGAAGGACAGCGGAGGTGTGGAGGGCGCTGAGGGGTTGGCACCGACGGGGACGACGGACACGACCCTTCGGGGACAGGTGGAGAGCGCAGGGTGTTTGAAGGAAGTGCAGTCGGAGGAGAACCTCGCCCGCAGTAAATCCGTGGAGGAGCTGTCGGGTCACGAGTCCAGCGTGACGGACGAGGGCATCGTCACGGAGCCAGAGCCCATGGCAATGCCCTTCCAGGACCTGCACCAAGCTGTGGAGGCCTGGATGCTGCCCAACGCCGGGCCAGCAGCTGGTGACTCCGAAATGCCACTGCCCGCTCACCCGCCGGCGGCAGTCGAAGACCTTCCAGCTGGCAAAGCCGAGATGCCGAGCACGCCCGGCAGCCTGCGGCGCCGACGGAAGTTCCCGTCGGCGGGTGCCAGCGGGATGGAGGGCGGCGGCGAGGGCGGCACCGAGCCCTACCGCTCCCTGAGCGACCCCATGCCCCACCGGCGGTGCTCGGTGGCGGAGGAGGCGAAGAATTTCTCCGTCGACAGCAACCTGCTGGGCTCGCTGAGCGCCAAGGCGGGCGTCCCCCAGCCCGCCGGCAGCGCGGGCAGCGCGGGCAGCGACCTGTCCCTCAGCAGCGATGGCCCACGGGACTACAGCAGCCTCATCCAGACCATCGTGAGCCAGCCCGGCGCCAT